CAACATCCTCTCCTTAGTCTTTTGTTGGTTTCATGATCAGAACTACGTGGGACATTCCTACAAGGATTTTGCAAAAAATAAGGTGATAACCCCCTAGGGTCCTCTCCTATACTTTTTCAGCCATTTGGGTTGGAGCTGCAGAAAAGGCCACTACCTTCCTGGAAGATTATTAATATTTACATGCGTTCCTTCCTCACCCCACCCCTGCTTAATTCACTAGGCAATGAGAACCTTTGGACAGGAGTCTCACTCAGCAAAATGATATTGTGGTGGCGCGTGCGGTGATCGAGTGTCGGACACTCTCCACCCGGACAGTGGCAGTGGCAACGGAATAAAAGGGACAGATGGGAAACACTGTCGGAGTAGAATCGGTTGAACACAACGACTTTTCTTTGCAAAGGTGGGAGGCAAGAGAAAGAGAAGTAAAAGACATTCTGAAATTCTGAGCCCGAGTGACAAGAAGCAAAGTGGTATCATTAATAGAAATGAGGAAGTTAAAAGGCAAGGCTGCCATTTGGAAAGGAAGATGCCAAATTCACTTTTGCATCAAAAACAGTGAAGGTGAGACCTGCCTAGGTCCAAAGGACACATCCGCTGAGACCTAATTCTTGACTCGGGGAGGTTATGTTGAGTCTGCCATGCTAGCAGGACGTTCAGAGTTGCCTGTGTAGGAAGTAAGTGGATATAGATTTGAGATCCAGAGTCATCCCTGATGTGGTCACGTCCTAAACGTGGGCCCTGAAGGAGAAAATATTGGGTGAGCCAAGGGCCAAGAACATTTAGAGGGGAGGAGAAGGAAGACAAGCAAATGGAGACAAAAAGGCTGTGGTCCAACAGTAGGATTGGGATTGTGTATTGCCAAAGAACCAAGAGAGGGTGGTATGGCAAGAGGAAAGGATGTCAGCCTGCCAGAATTCTCTGAGAGGTCTGAGAAAATGTGATTGGACTTACTGGAGACCTTTCAGAGAGGGTTCTAGAAGGTTTGATGGGAGCAGGATCTGGGGTTTGTGTTCTAGGACTCAGTCTGCTATCTGCTGGTTGAGGGGGCCAGTGTCTGCGTCCACAGCAGCAAAGATGGAGTAAGAATACGCACTTTTGGCCTTGCTGTGAAGAATGAGATCCAGAGGAGGAAGGGTAAGAGCCCCTTTGAATGCCTCCTTTGTCCTGGGCATTGTGCCAAGGGCTTTTGTCCACCATATGAGAGTCCTTTAGACACCCTAACATGATAGGCCAAATTGAGAGATGGTTACCACCACTATTAAAATCGGAGAAGATTATAATGATCAGAGAAATGAATGGGAGACAGGAAGGAGACCCAGAGAGGGTTGACTGTTCATTCACAAAACCTGACAATGCATGGACTGTGAAAGATAAGAGCCATGGCTTGACAGAAAGTCACCTGTGAAGATGAAGGGCACGGGGGTGACTCAGTCGGTTAAGCGTCTGGCTTCGGCTCAGGTCATGAACTCAGGGTCCTGGGATAGAGCCCCACATAGGGCTTCTTGCTCAGCAGGGAGCCTGCTTCTCTCTCTCCCTCTGCCTGCCACTCTGCCTACTTGGGATGGCTCTCTCAATCTGTCAAATAAATAAATAAAATCTTAAAAAGAAAAAGATTAGTGTTGCCTTGACCATCTTTATCAACCAGGGAGAGGAAGAGCCAGAAGGGGCCAGGAGGAGCATACTCCTTCGGCCACCGGCCCTCTGCCTCTGAGGGTCTCCATGTTAGAACCCTGTTCCCTCTCCTCACCCCCCTACGCCCCCACCCCTCCACCTCTGCTGTGGCTGCCTCCTGCAGGCATTTTCCACATTCACTTTCCCGCCAATTAACCAGTCTCTTCACTCCCGTGACCCCACCCGTCCACCTGCAGACCTCAGAGAGCCCCTGTGAGCACAGACCGAAAGGCCACCCAGCTGTTCTGTGGATACCAGTTAGTCTGCCCTCAGGCCCTGTCTCCTAAGGCACCTCCCCCAGGCTTTCAACCACTTGGCTGGCAGGGAGGACCTGGGCTCCAAGCCACCCACGCTTTTCTCTTTTGTTCCCAATAAAGTACAGTGATCACAATGAGGTCCTGGCAGAATCCCCAGGAAGCTGCAGTCCGCGGGAGGAGGGATTCTGTGAGGCAGGAGTAAACCATGGGAACCTCAACCCTCTCTGAGATCACCTCTTTTCCTAAGTGGCTCTGGGGTCAGCTGGGTACTATGGGGTTTTCTCTAAGGGAACAGTCTTATCAGGCCCCTCCGAGTAGTGACAGCAATAAATAATAGAGCAGGAGAAGGGCGTCTGCCTGCCTTGGACTCCCTCTGGCTTCAGCCCCTCCTCTACTCTCTTCTGGATTGCCACAGGGTCCCCTTGGTCTCCCACATCCCGTCCAGCCCAAGCTTGCCTCCTGAGGTCTCTCCTGGATCTGGGCATAGCCAACACTTCTGCTTTATGAATCTCCCCACCTCCCCCAGGATAAAGTCCTCCATACTTGGCAAAGCATGCGAGGCTTTTCCCATTTTGAACTCTGCCTGTTGCAGGTCTGAGAGAACTGTGGCTGGAGCCATTCCCCTCTGTTCTTTATTCATTTTTTAATTCATGCACTCATTCACGTCTTCAGCAAATGTCTTTCCGAGCCTACTCTGGGTGGCATTATGCTGGGATCTGCTGGGCACCCCACACCTGGCTGGTCCCCACTTCGCGCCCATCCTCAGCTGCACTCACCGCCTTTTAGACCTTGATGCCTTCTCGTGGCCCGTTCTTAGCCTGCGAGGCTCCTCCATGAGAGAGTCCCCGGTTCTTCTGTTCAGATTGTCACTCATTCTGAGCTCCCCGACCTTTTAAATTTTTTCATTAAAGTTATCTATGTATTTGTGACAATCCCCCTTCTGAAAAAAATTACAGTCTTCCTTACTGTTTCAGTACATCTTTAACAGACATAAATGTCAGTATACTCTCCTGGTGGGGGTGG